TAGTAGGTCAATAAATTTACAAGTCGACATAGAGTAATTCGGACATAGAGTAATTCAAGCATAGATTAATGAAAAAAGTGCATTGCTAGTGAATTAGTAGGCCAATAAAGTTACAAGTCAACGTAGAGTAATTTGGGCATAGAGTAATGAGAAAGGTGCATTACTGATGAATTAGTAGGTCAATAAAGTTACAAGCCGACATAGAGTAATTCGGCCATAGAGTAATGAGAAAGGTGCATTACTGATGAATTAGTAGGTCAATAGTTACAAGCCGACATAGAGTAATTCGGCCATAGAGTAATGAGAAAGGTGCATTACTGATGAATTAGTAGGTCAATAAAGTTACAAGCCGACATAGAGTAATTTGGGCATAAAGTAATGAGAAAGGTGCATTGCTGGTGAATTAGTAGGTCAATAAAGTTACAAGCCGACATCGAGTAATTCATGCATAGAGTAATAAGGAAGGTGCATTGCTGGTGAATTAGTAGGTCAATAAATTTACAAACCGACATCGAGTAATTCATGCATAGAGTAATAAGGAAGGTGCATTGCTGGTGAATTAGTAGGTCAATAAAGTTACAAGCTGACATCGAGTAATTCATGCATAGAGGAATGAGGAAGGTGCATTGCTGGTGAATTAGTAGGTCAATAAAGTTACAAGCCGACATAGAGTAATTCAAGCATAGAGTAATAAGAAAGGTGCATTGCTGATGAATTAGTAGGTCAATAAATTTACAAGCCGAGATGAGAAAGGTGCATTGCTGATGAATTTGTAGGCCAATAAAATTACAAGAGTGATTCGGACATAGAGTAATTCAAGCATAGATTAATGAAAAAAGTGCATTGCTGATGAATTAGTAGGTCAATAAAGTTACAAGCCGACATAGAGTAATTCGGGCATAAAGTAATGACATCAATCTTCTCGTGTACTAATCGTTTATTTACGTCTCTCTATTAATAGACATGAGTATGAGTCGGCGCGACGAGGCTGGGGAATTTCTTTAGACGTGCATTCATTTTCGGACTACGACTATGGACTAATTCACTTTTCAGAATCTTCCGATATTCTAATCTTAGCCTTAAAATTAATCATTCCTTGAGTAGTGATTTAAATCATAGAGCCCACTGACATAATTGGTGTTGAAAATTTAAACAAACTATCAACTAAATCAAAAATATACTTTCCATTACATAATTATAATTTCCTGATTTTGCTGAAGAAAATAGTCCCGATTTACAAAAGTAGGCTATTATCGTATCGTTATTTATATTTTTGCGTGTATCATCGTGTAATATTGTACATTTCATTACAAATACACACCTTTCTGGACATTTAGACAAATTGGTGTAAGCAAGAATTTCAATAATAATTAATACTAGGGGGCGGGTTAAACCGACGGTTGTTTAACTCCATGCTTTAACTAACATCTAAGCATGTAACGTAGACATGTACTTGATCGCCATAAAACATTGTAAAAATAACAACCTTAAGATGAGGAGTTTACTGCAGTATGTTGTAAAAGATAGAAAAAGTAGTGGATTTGATTTAAACTTTTAACAATTCTGAACAATAAGATTTTTTGAACAGCCCAAGTTACTAAGCATCATGCATGCTTTTATTTCATAACACAAAAATGTAGATAGAATTTTGCATGTTGCATTACACGGATGAAGCCAGACGGATAGCTGTTAAAAATAGAACTGAAGTGCTTTTGGTGAGTAAGTGCTACACAACACGAACTGGGTAACTGCAAATTTACTTGCTGACTGAATCTACAATTGCAGCGTTGCAAACTAAATGCATAACATACAGAATGCACACTGTAAAAGAAACTTCTAGAGTGAACTAGGCTATAGTCTGTATGATGGAACCTGTCTCCTGACCTTTCGTGTAGAGGGCTACGAGACAGGTTTCTTCGTACATACTATAGTGGTAGAGAATGAGGTTTTGGCTACAAATTTCTAAGGCAGTCCTAAGTTCGAATCCCGCCGATTACTTTGATCTAATCCTGACCTAGTGGTTCGGAATCTACCTTTTGCAATTTTTCAACTTATCTAGAACACCAAAAAGTGCAGTACTTGCTAGGAGACTTTTCACTATCAGAGAATCCCCTTCACTATAGTCTGTATGATAAAACCTGTCTCCTGAACCTCCCCATTCATGCGTCTAGCCAATGGCCCGGGATAGTCCCAGATAGACTTGTAGGGTCAGGAGGTTTCATCATACAGACTATATACCATGCAAAAATTTACTGTTGCAATGCAATACATTAAGATTTAAAGTCTAACACCTATCAGAAGACTTATAAAAATCTCCACCTCATTTCTGCAGGTTTGCATCCGCCGTAGGCCCATATTTGGTCGTAGACTAGAGTTTCTACCAGTTATGTAAGGTAGTATTCAGTATTGAAAACATATTTCCCTAAAATCCTACCAAACCTAAGGTTGACTCAGAGAGACGGTGCTTCGGTATCGATGCGTGTCAGACGCTAACCTACTTCGGGAACCATTTCAAGTCTCTGTCTCACTAAACGTTCATCATCACGCCATACTTTCTGGGAATCCGATAAGTATCTGTCAAAATACAACCGAAAGTGAGTCCACGATGAACGAGATTTACAGTCTCGTATGTAAGGATCAATAACTGTATGTAATAAAAGTAACATTACGAACTTTTGGATCCTGAATTCAATAAGGGTATACTAATATTGCAATAAGTTACTACATTTTTTTAAAGCCGAATACTGTGTCCTAATTTTTTAATCAAGGACGAGGAAATTTCATGATGTGACCTTCCACAGCACCGCTTAAAACCAGGAAACTGCTTCAAAATTAACCACGTGAGATTTTTCAATAAACTGTCTGACACTGCCCGACTTGTTTCTATGAGACACTTTGAAATTAAATTATCTGAGTGGCTTTTTGCCAATCCTTTTTATGCAAAATACGAATTTTTATCATGTCCTGTTATAATAATTAACTTAGACTTAATTTCATGTTATTGACTGTTATTGTTATTGTTGTTCACCTCTATGTATAGTTAATGTTAAATTGGCATTTGTAATTAATGATAGAATCTTATGTATTTATTTCATTTATTGACTACGCCAATGTCTGTATTACATGGATCAAAGTCAATTCATATTCTTGATTCTATTTATTTCTCAAAACAATCTTTAGTCGAATTGAGCACAATGGATAGAACGCAGTTTATTATGGAGACGAGTTTCAAATCCGGCCAATGACTGATGCCTATTTTCTATGCGACAAAGTCATGGCTTTGTGGTTCGGGGTCTATAAAAATTTATAGGTTTGACTTTCGGTAAAAAGTACGACTTTAAGGTGAGGTATTGTCTCATAATTAGAAATCTCTTTCCACAAAAAGTCACATAATTTAATTGTTTTTAATGGTTGCGAGACGGTGTTTGCAAAGATCTATGGAAGATCAGTAAACGGGGAGTTTGTTCAATGTCATCGGACAATAATATTACCAAAGTTTGTACTAAAAAACGATCAATACATCCGTAACGAAAGATTTAAGAGTATAGTCATAGATGAAGTAATATAATACTTCATCTATGGTATAGTATTCGGAAAGGAAATTTCCTTTTTGCAAACTGTCCCGTGAGATTTTATCACCTTTAAAAGACCCTCTGTTCACGAAATTGGAAAATAAACCCCACATTTTTACTCTATGGCAGGACGTTTTTGTATCGATGTTAGATTATAATCCCAGTACGGAATGGTCCTTAAAGCTGAACTGAAAACTAAACGTTTAACACGGATTTAGTCTCAGAGCATGCCAAAGAACTGAGCCCACCAATACTAATTAGAGGCTGAAAAAGATAAACCGCTAGGGGTAGCCTAGAATAACCTTACTCAATTGGGATAAACTAACACAAAGGCAATGGGTTATTGTTCCCCCGTTTTACCATCCATGATATTCCCTAGCTATTTACTAAGTGTTATCCTCCAGCACCCTTTTCCCTCTCTCTCCCTCCTCTTACTAATTTTTCTCAATTTTCTACTCGAATCTTTCCTCATTCTACACATCATCATTCGTCCTTTAATTGCTTATTTCTCATCTACCTCATCCTTTCTTTCGCATCTTCTTCCTTTGCCACGTTCTCTCCCTTCTTCTTACCTCAATGTTCTTCTCTTCGACGTATCCTCGTCCCTCTTTTTTTCTTCTTATCCACTTTCGTTTCCCTCCCCCCCTCATTCATCATTTTTTCTTTGACAATTGCTATACAATTATTCAATACCACGTACCTTTTCACTCACCTATTCCACTACCTCGAACACAGTGACCAGCTTAACAATGTCATTTTTTTCATTTCTTTTATCCAACATTTCTTCTAGCTTCTTGCTTTATCTCTTTGCATACTTTTTAAAGCCAGTCTTTCTTCTACTACTTTTATCCTTCATCAACAATTTCTCCTTATCTTTCACGTCCTAATTCCTCCTTCTCTTCGTCCTTTTCCCCTTATCATTTGCTTAGCATTCTTCTTCTTCTTCCTATTTTATTCCTCTTCTTGACTCTGGCAAATAATTACTACTCGTTCAACACATTGGCATACCGACTGCCACCTCGAAGACTGTGTCCAGCCCAAGACGATAGCTTATAAATTTCACATTTCTTTTTCACCATCCAAGACTATCCAAACAAATCCTTCTCATTTTCCCTATTTTCCATCCTCATCCCTCTCCCTCCTACTCCTCATCATACATAATCCCTTTTTCTTCTCTACGACGATTACTATATAGGCCTACTTTGTTATGTAATGTAAAAAATTGAAGCCAAAAAACGTGGTGCAATCTGTTGAAATGGTCTAAAAACTAATGTCAACTTTCTGTCTCAAGTGATAAATAAATTATTGGAGTACCTTCTGGTGAGATGGTCCTGAACTTCATCGATTTCCTTGGCTTCAAATTGTTACATTACATGGGAAGTAGTATCATTGATACACATAAATACTACGAACAACATTTCCACTCACCAATCAGCATGGCGCCTGCCAACTCGAAGACCGTCGCCAGCCAACAAGCCGTCTTCACCGAAAGCACCTTGGATCCTACGCTGGTGCCGAAACTGTTGGCCACGTCGTTGGCTCCTATACCACAGGCCAGCACGAAGGCGACCACGAAGCTGACCACGACCAGCCAAACATTCTCAGGCGCCCACGGCTCCATGTCCTCACTTACACTTACACTTAGACTAATATCACAGCTAGATCGCTTAGCGGACTACACTAGTTCATCGGGCTATACGTTCAGTTCTCTTTCTGACGTGGCTGAGGACGTAGTGACTCGTGGTAGGCATGTTGGAGGTGTGTGACGCCCGCGGGAGTCAGCGGTGTGGACGCTTCTGGAACAAAACAGAAGACATTAGATTTGCTGGATTTATAGATTTACTAGCTGTAACCGCGGGCTTTGCCCCGTTTAACTTCATACGTGAGCTCGTTCGCATGGCTCAATCACGTCCTGGTTGAAGTTCGTTCGCTACGCTCACTCACCTTTAGATTGGAGCTCGTTCGCTGCGCTCACACGTCCTCAGGGTTGAAGTTCGTTCGCTACGCTCACTCACCTTTTGGTTTAAAATTAGTTGTTGTCAAATATTAAAAAAAAATAATAGTGCTGCACTCTGTTGGTAATCCTTGTAACTTTAATGCTATTGAACATCATAGAACAGAACCAACTTGTTTAATTGAAACAGCTGTTATGATTCATTAATTCCATTTAAATATGAGTACTCATAAGGTTAACATGGGAAACTCCATAGCCACTGGGGCGGAGCCCGAGAGTCCGATCAGAATAAAAACCACTTAGTTTTCCTATTTAATGCCTAAAGAATCAGTGTACCAAATTTCAGCCTCCTAGGTAAGTGGGAAGTGGGAGAATTAGTGATGAGTGAGTGAGTCAGTCAGTCAGTCAGTCAGTGAGGGCTTTGCCTTTTATATATATAGATACTACGCTAGAGTGTGAAGATTAGTAAAATAATGGTTGGTGGGGGTGTTAGAGTGCACAACTTCAAATTTGAACGTCGCTAGTTCGATTTCAAGTGAGATTGTTTCCAGACCAAGAGAACATTTTGTCATTGTGTTATTAGTACTTGTATGGTGATCTCAAACTAAAAATTCAACGTTTTTTTAAAAGATCCGTATGATGGAGCTTGTCTCCTGATCTTCCATCTACCTGGGGACTGGCCAATCAATTCAATCGTCAATTATTTAAGATGGGGACGCCACTATGTACGTATTTAAACCCAAATATGATGTAGGATGAGTAGCGCGATCTTGTAGTCTTGTTAGTGACTAAGGCCGGCAAATTCCAATAGCGTCAATATACATAAAAATACACGGATGACATCCACGATAATCTTTCAAAATACAATGCATACAGTGCAAACATTGAGTGATCAATGTCAAAATACGACTTGACCAACCCCTCATAGTCTGTCACCAACCCCAGACGTTGCGTCATACACTGGTCAGTTATAGACCGTAAATGCAGACTGTCTATTCACGATTTTATCTGAAAACATTCCTATGGAGATGCCAAATAGCTTGGCTACTTCATGGGGGAACGCGTAATATTTCCTCTTAGTTCATCGTGATATTTAACGTTTCAGACCTTTACTTGCTACCTCGAATAAAATACTATATTAATTATTATCAATTATTGAGGTGGGAACGCCTTAATGGTGCGTATGTTAACCCAAATATGAGTAATGAGTGTAGAATGTAGTGAAATGACTTGTGTAGCTTTGTTACTGACTAAGATCAGCTGTTTCGTTAGTTCCCTTTTACAAGCCCAATGAAGGACAGCTGAGCCAGTTTCGAACCATCGAAAAGCTACATTTCTCAGAATCGAACCGGTGACCTTATGATTACTAGGTGAATACATGGTAGAAGGAAAATACATAGGTGTGCTATTCCCACCATATGCTGACGTCAACCAGATTGCAAACACTAATTTCACCATTTGAAAAAATAATAATAACAATAACAATCAAATCAAAACAAATATACTTATATGGCAATACAATCAGGTGATCTTTTGTTTGTGATCTGGTTTCGTACCACTTTTATCATACCATATTGGTTTTGGATACTGTAAGTAAACTTTTGATCATAGTAGAGAATCTGAGGCGTTTAAAGAGTGTGTATTGTGTCCGATTTCATTTGATTGTATAGATGTAGACCAAGTGCTTTCCGTTATTTTGGTGTAAATTCTTCTTCGTGCTCGTGTGATTATAATCTTTGATTCTTACTATTCTATTTTTCTCTTAGGTTATAAGACTGTAGGCCTACTATAGTCCGTATGATGAAACTTGTCTACTGATCTTCCATCTACCTGGGGCCTGGGCCCGACAAGGTCCAGGGCCAGTTTCAGTAGTATGACACGTTGTGTGAAGGTAAATAAAGGAATACGTTAACGTGATTGAAATATTAAATTATTTTTATGAAAATTGATTACCCTTCACAACGTATCCCACGCAATGGTAGAATCAGCGTGAATTGCAGGTACTTAACCTCCGACCTTTGTACCGCAGTCGACCCACCTAAACTTATTACACGGTTCGCAAGCGCTTGCAAATTGTATCACAAGTTGATCTATTTTAACAATATTTTCAATTTATGATTACACTCGATCCCCCCAAAATATTGTATCGCTAAAATTCTTCAATATCTTTGTATGAAATGTAGGCATAATGATACCGAGAAAAACTAAACAATTGCCTATTTTAAATCACATCTGGATTTATGGTCTGTATCGGGGCTATAGCCCTGGGTATGTATGATGGAACCTGTTCCCTAGGGACTGACCCAGGTAGACAGTGTGTCAGGATACAGGTTATATCATACAGACTATAGGATTGCTACCGCTAAGGTTTGAACTGGCGACCTTCAGGTTTGAGTTTAAACACTATAACACTTCAAGGGCAGATAATTGTATTTCAATTTTCGTAATAGTTGAGTAGACTTCCGTATCTGTTGGCACAAACAACCGAATGAAAATATCGATCGATATAGCGAATGAAACAATCGAATAATCGATATTTTCATTAGATTGCTTGTGCCAACAGACACGGAAGTCTACCCTATAGTTTTTATGTTGTTTGTTATAACTTAACTTAGACGTACTTTAGGTAAAGATGTAATAAATAGCATTCTACTTATATGGACATGGTCCACTACCGTAATCAATGTTTAACTTCTTAAAGGTTAAGATATTAAAAAATAACTAAATAAATTTAAAATACCTGGCAGCCATCCAATGGTGAAAACCATAGTGTTCTCATATTAAAAGTAAATATTTTTTACGTTTTCGGTTGATTGTATGTGTTTTCATTTCAACCATCAACAAAACTAATCAAGTGAATTAAAATATTTCTTGGACTGATTTGTTTTGAGAATGTTGCTCTACTGAACTATGTAACACTACACAATGTTTGTTACTATTGCAAATTGTCACAGTTCTTGTACATTGGGAAATATTGCAGTTCCGAGGCTATTGCACCTTTTTATATGAAAGACCTTATTGGAGGAAACGTCAAAGTCTGGAACAATCAAAGTTTAAATTCTATGTAGGCTATGTTTTGCTGCCAAACAGATTAAATAAGCTTCTTTTACTGCAGAATTGATGGTTACTTAGTTCAACATCAATTAGAAAGGACCACTAGAAGAAACCACTTTTTTACATAGTTTAAAATATGGTGGACCTTATTTGAGTCTATCTTATATTTTTAGGTTCAGTGGGTTAAACCACCTCGTACCTTAGATCCATGTTTACTTTCAAAACAAGAAATTTACAAATTCACAAACACTTAACCTACAAAAATTATGACAGAAATTTAAACAAAAATATTTACATTTTAATACTCATAGCACCCAGCTGATTTTTGTGTATGATATTAGAGCGGCTGTTTTTGTGTTAAAACAGAAGTGTTGTATGGCTATCTTTTTTACTTCTTTTAGTTAAACCATTGATTATATAACCTTGAAGTATTTATAAAGAAATTATCAATGATGGGCTTTTCATAAAGGAATTTCTCCAGTATAAGGACAGCTCTTCTGGTAAATTTTGGCTCATGTGATTAATATAACAGATCTTATTTTTATAATTATGGAAATATTTACCATAATTATCGAAATGTTAACATCGAAGGCAGAACCATTGCTCTGGAGAGCATTTTCTACTTTCAAGCAAATTTACATAAGTGCAGACACTGCATACACTGTAAAGAATGACGTTATTCTTTTTAGAACCACTGCAAAAGGGAAAAGGCAAAAAGTAAACAGGTCCTTCAATTGAAAGCAGAATGAAAAATACACTTTATTCGAGTGTGTTATTATGAAGAAGACTCAATGTCCAACTCTCATGCAAAATGAAATAAGTTCCCTGGAAAATTGTTTGAACGACGAGTTAGCCATCTGTCAAAGCAAATTAGCAATCAGCTGATCGAGTTGCAATCAGCTGCCGGATATTGGTCTGTGACGTCATACAACATGTGACCAGCGTAGATGGACGATGTGGTAGGTTAAGGTTAAAATTGTCAGTAAAAATATGCAATGTAAACGATGGCTTATATAATGTTTTTGAGATTCAAAACTATTAAGTACAAAGTGTTAGGCATGCCATAATTTAGTAATTAAAAATATAAACAAGTTGGATTAGAACACTTAACCATGTTCTGATGATACTAAAAAGGCAGTGTGTTTTAGTATAGTTTCATGACAAGTACACTGAACACTGATTATATCGTGGAAGCAGTGTGCCCTAGTTTCGTGACTGCTACACTAAACAAAATATAAAGGGGCAGTCTTCAGGGCCTCCTCGATATACAGGGTGTCTCGTACGTAAACAGTCAAACTCCCGGGTGATGGTTCTACGGGTTAAAATACAGAGAAAACCAAATAAAACTTTAAAATAACTTAATCAACTAGGTATCCACGATTTTGTATTTTTGTAATAAACACTTAGATGATTCAAAACGGATCTTTATGAATTTTTTTATATATGTTAAAGTACAAAAGATCTATGTTAGAAAATAAATTAGCTTGTTCCAATTCAAAATTTCAAAATGACCGCTATTTCGAAATTTTTAATTTGTTCTACAGTATAAGGTCTTTTCTACCTTAACATACCAAGTTTCTTAAAAATCGGTATTAATAATCTAAACATAAAAATGTTTAAGTAAAAACTCTTTATTTTGAACCGTAGAACAATTTTCCGGAGTTGGGCTGTTTATTTACGGGATACCCTTTTACTTCAAATCAACCCACAACAAACACGTAAACACAGTAAAAAATACGTAAAACACGTATTCGCAGTTTTTTTTTAATTTTTTTATTGTTGTTTTTT